ATATATATATATATATATATATATATATATATATATATATATATATATATATATATATATATATATATATATATATATATATATATATATATATATATATATATATATATATAGATATAGTCACTTTTTTGGCACACAATTTATCTTAATTGGTATATTTATAAGTTTAAGTGTGCTACCTACATAAACTGGATTTTAGTCTGGTTTACCAGGATTACCAGTTTGAATAGCCTTAGGCTGGACTTCGCCCTGTATATATTTATATTCATCGTATACTTATACCTTGGTTATTATGAATAAAGTCGATTATTATTGTTATTATTAATATCGTTATTATTATTATTATTATTATTATTATTATTAACGAACAATCTTATTTTCTCTTGTAGCAAGGTGCACAATTTAAACAATGCTCCGGTTAAGGTACTTGGAGTCTGGATCGATCGTACTCTTTCTTGGAAGGATCACATTGAACACCTTTGCCACAAACTGTCAAGTCAATTGTTTCTAATTAGATACTTAAACAAGTAACTCATTCCTATCATGTCAAGACTTGCTTATTTCGGATTGTTCCATTCTCATTTAGCGTACGCTATTGTTTTGTGGGGTGGTTCCGTGCATGCCCGCAAGGCTTTTCTTATGCAAAAAAGAGCGATACGTGTGATTGCGAATGCAAAGCCTCGTGATCACTGCCTCCCGCTCTTCTCAAAGCTTAATATTTTGACCTTACCATCACTATTTATTTACTATACAGTCACTCTCATACATGAGCTAAAGAACAATATGCCTAAGCACTGTGATCGCCACAATCACTACACCAGGGTATCTGAATTAATTGTCCAGGGCCATTCTAGGCTGCGCACATCCGAGTTAAATAAATTGTACATTAATTACTACAATGTTCTACCAACCGTTGTCAAGGATCTGCCATTCACTAAATTTTGTAATATAATAAAACAATTTCTATTGGAGAACGCATTCTATACTGCAGATGAGTACATCCGTGTTGCGTCACGAGTGTCTCCATAATACTAATTGGGAATTTATTTATTTACTTATTTTTTTTTACCTAATTTTTGTTTCAATGTTTGGTGTTTGTCTATCTGATAATTATGTTGCTCTCTATGAATGTTATTAGAATGTGTTTGATACTGTGACTTGCCATTTGTTGTTCTTGTAATGTATTTAATGGCCAATAAAGTCTAAAGTCTAAAGTCTATTATTATTATTATTATTATTGTTATTATCATTGTCACTATTATTATCATTATTATAATTTTTTTTAAAAGACAAGTGAGGTAAGAAATGTTGCCTAAATATAAATGATTGCTATAGTACCCTCGTAAGGTCAGTGAAAATAAATTCCGAAAGGGGCAATAAATCATTGGTGTGAGAGATCATGATGCAACAGCGTCAACAATTTCATAATTACATTACAAATAGTTCAATTATACAAATTTGAGATACTTTTGGTGAAAATGCGAACCACACTCGACGCACTTATTATTCGTTATTTTAGGGGTAATAATTAGGGAAATATTAACAAGATATTTTGTTTATAATTTCTAATTTACCTATGCCTTTAAATGCATTAAAATATTCTGTCTATGGTGTATCGGTAAAAAACACTGGTGATGTTCATCATTGGCAACATTGTCTCAGTCCGTCAACATATTTGCATCACGTTAATAATGAAAATATGCTATCTCCCTTATTTATATATCCATGTTGGCAAGACCTAAAAATGTTAGTTATCCCAGTATTTTAACACCGTGCATTTTATTGTGGCAATAAAAAGGAAAATTCATTTTTGATTCAAAAATAAAAAAAAAAATAAATACTTTTTCGGAATCGTTTTCGATTTCAAAGCGAACAACTTTTTACTAAAAGATAGACGTAAGTTAGTTTTAATTTAATTATTGTTAATTAACAGACTAATTAGTAGACATTCGGCATTATACAATATCACGGGTAACTGTAAATACTGCAACTATTGAAATACAATACACATTCCCCTATTCTCCTCTTACTTGCACAAAACCTTAATTTACCAACAAATATGGAAGATTTGAATGGCATTGTGTGCGCGCGATACCCGAATATCCTGCTCCTGTATAGGATTATATCGATCCATTCACGTTTTGATTGAAAAAAGGGGTTTTTGGGTGAATCTGTCAATCACTTCGACACCTGGTATTGACGTCGAAATAACGTCTCTGGGATATATACACGGTGCGTAGCATATTTCGATCGCTTATCCGTCGTTTTGTTTCGCCTAATTCAGAAAACACCAAACGTTGGTCACATAAGTTGAAATAAATGTTATCTTTTTGTTATCGTCGAAAGATTTGATAAATGTGCTTTAGTTGAACAAAAAGATACGTTTTTATCTCAATTATGAATAATAATTAAAGCGAGACAGATTGACAAAAGAGGGAGCCCCCCTTCCTTACAAATTATCAGCATCGAAAAAGAAATTATTTGGAAGTATTAGAAAATATTTCTAAAATCTCAGAAACTGCAATTGAAAAGGTGTAGGGATAACATTATATCCTTTAAACCGTTAACTATGATTCAATTTGTATTAGAGGCCTTCTCACACCATGTAAACAAAGTGTCAAAAATTTGAATCTATCGACTTGACATTTGCCATTTAACACGTAAGTTTTTTGGGTTATTTTGGGTTCCAGAAAAACAATATTTTCTCAAAAACCATTGATCCGATTGGAAAAATTCTTGACCCAAGAAAGACACGACGTGAGAGCTATAAATCGTAAATAAAAATGAGCCCAGGGTCCTTATTTTGAGAAAATGGTCACGTTTTGTTTTTGGAAGTTGAAAAGATTTATGCTGCCTTTTCGTCTTATGCCAAAAATCTAGTATAAATAAAGTCACTGGAATCTAACACAATTGCTCGTCCATTGGTTAAATGCTTATTTGGGCCTGGTTGTATCTATACCGCATAAGTTTGCCACACGAGTCTTATTAGAATCTCGATCAACAATAAAACTCAGAGTAAATCGAATTACTCATCAACAGCTTAGTAACCGATTTTTTTTACTTTATCGCGCCCACTCAAAATCGTTTAATATCTGGGAAGGAAGTACTTTATCTCGCAAAAAAAAATCGACTAACGTTAATTTTATTGGTTTTGGTGGACACGTTATTTTATCAACTTTCCATAGATAGCAAGATCCGTATTTCGAAATAAAGATAAAATAAAAATACGGAAATTTTATTTCAAAGAATAACCTAAACGGTTTTCTTTTTTGCTTATGTTGACACAACTATCTGTTCCCAGATAAGAGATTTTTTTTTGGTTTGGCCGTGTGAAGTACCCAAGAAACGTTTTAAACCTCAGAATAGGGCACCACGCGTAACCTTGGCCTTGGTTTGCTTCAAACACTTCAAATATTTCTCAACCGCTTATTGGATGAAAAACATCGAATCGAACAAAAGAAGCGACAACTTTACGTAGACCGAAACAGTACACCATAACAAATTGCGAAAATTACCCTTGTTGGGCGCAATTCTCGGTGACGTAAAGAGGTCTCGTTACAATTAACCGAGCGGGGTTGCTTTTCAATTTCGGGGTGAGAGTTGTCATCGGTATATTTGTCCAACGTTTTCCGAAATAAGGGAGAAATAATCGTCATCGGCGTTCGTGTGTAAAATTAGGCCCGTCTCCTGCTTATACCGGGGGACCTTTTTATATACATGGCGATTCACGTTATTAAAAAGTCTAACTAACTAAACTTATCTGAAATTGAAAAATTTGCATAGCTTTGTTGAAGATAGCGCTGTTTTTTAGCAAATTAATAATTTTAAACAAAATGGTGCCATAAATGATTCCCCAAAAATTGAAATTTTTCTGGAACACCCTACCAACCCAACACCATAACTAATTAGATTAATCAGAAAACACATTTAAATGACATGCAAAGTGCAAAAAACATGATTTAATCTAAGCCAAATAAGAAAAAATATGATGTTATTTATCATTATACGATTCAAGCTTCGCAAGAGGTTTCTTATCTCGTTCTCTCATAAATTATAAATGCATAAAATTTTTGAAAACCTGCAGACAAAAATGATGAATCAAAAAACATACGCGTTCGCTCGGTATATATTTTCCGCGTACATTAATATCTGACACTAAGTGTCAACTATCTATCCGGTTTAACAAATTCGATAAGTACATCTTGGATTATCGACTTCCTTTGATTACGTACGGCGTCGCGGATATAAGATCCTTAGATAAGATTGCCTGAATTTCCACGAATAACGAATAGATTATATAGATATCATGTGCTTTTAGGCAAAGTTATTATGACAGTTTTGAGTGGTTGTTCCGCATATACCAAACTTATCTTAACCATTTGCCCCAAACATGATTAATTAATCAAATTTAAATGATAAGAAATAAACGCAGTACAATCGCAAAATGAGAATAATTATGGTTACAATTTTTTTATCAACAGTATTCGTAGAATTAATACTTCAACAATGCTGGTACATAAGAGTTCACAATGCTCACGGAGAAAGAGAGATATAGCCTCGGTGTGTTACATGTGCATCATAAGGTATCGGAATTATTGGGATCGAAGTTATAGTAACGCAAGAAACAGCGTCTAATAGAAGGCATTTTCACAAATGTCGGTCTCAATGAATTCCAGCTGACAGCGATGTTGCGTAGGAACACTTATTAAAAGTTCTGCGTTTATCTGTATTTTTAATACACATAAAATAGAGTTTTCGTTTATTTGGCAACAGTGAAAGTATATAACCATGTTAGTACAGAATTATTACGTATAGTTCCTCGCAGGCGCATATTACACAAACCCCATTCCTTTGTTGCTTCATTCATTAGAGGTTTCTCTCTCTACCAGCCCTCTATTAAGTATTAATTCTATGGAGTTTCCAGATACCAGCAGCAGAAACCAATTATTTTAGAAGACAAAATTGAATGAAATGATTCTTTGGATAAAGTATGCACTTACCTCCCATGCGAATCTGTAATCTTTGGGTACTCCTGCCCACTTCCCCTGGAAAGGTCCGTACCGAGTGCCTCTTTTCACGAAAGTTTTCGCAAACACCCCGTTTTCGCGGAGTTCCAGTTCCCTTGGCAAACTCCCGGTGGACAGAACGACGCCCTTCATGCTCAAATAGAACAACTCCGAGTTGCTCTCGCCTTCATAGTTTTGATACTTGACCAATTTTCCGTCCTTCACTTCCTCCGGCTCGTACTCATTTTTCCGTTTGCGACTGAGGTCTCTGCATTCGTCGTAGTAGATGTCTTCAGCGAGGTGATCCTCTGACTCAGGTCGGAAGACGTTGGCTTCCACTGAGGGCCCATCGTAGCGATCACCTTCGTGATGGCCTTCTTCTGGTACCATGGGTGTAGACTCTTCTAAATTATTGCCTCGACGTGTATTGATGTCTTCGGGGCTAAGATCCATTTGCTCGGAACTCGACGCTGTTTGCTCTAGTTCATCTTCAGATCCTTCTGGAAAAACAAACAACGGCTTGATTGGTTAGAAAATTAATAAATCATATTAGAGTAAAGAAAGGGGAAAGCAAGGCGTATGTTGTGTCTATTACTCCTTAGCCGGTACTATTCTAAAGCATGCATTAGAAAGTGTGAATAATGATATACAAATGGTACTTTAGGTATGATTCGATATAGAGTTATCAAGATCCCCTGTCGTCATCAAATATCTGCCAAAAATAAATAGGAATGAAGAAGAATGGGCAAGGACAAAAATTATTAAAACATTGAGGACCAACCAAAAAGCGAAGAAGCATTTGGTGGGTTGTTTTTCATATTCTTGTGATGCAGCAATGTCCGAATGGACAGAAAAAACTAACCTATCGCAAAATACGACCACGCAGACTGCACTAAGACAAAACAGTTCGGGATTTTGAGGTTAATAACCGACTCGCAATCGTACGAACGTGCCGTTCGTACGATTTTGTTTCCAGTGAAGCGGAGGAAAAAAAAAGACGGGGAACAGAAGACGAGAAAATAATATCGCGTTTCTTTAGGAGCGTTTTGCTTTTGTAATCAGTTTGGAAAACAATAAGACGAGAGGTGGATAAGGATTATTGCTAAAATGGCGAAATGGGATCGAATAAAAGAAACGCTTTTTCATAGCAATTTATTTATGGTTTTAAATGGCTTATTTTAAATAATATGCTGTCCGTTACAGGATATCTAGAAGAAAACATGAAAACAGTTAACATCAAAGCTTCCAACGCGTTCCTTAATTTTTTATTTAATTTAACCACTTGCCGCTGGTACTTTCCTCAATGGCAAAATTAATCAATCAAACCCACCAAGCAGGGAATTCTTAAATAGCTGCGGTTAAAAAAAATCGTTCTTCAACCACATCGAAGATAATAGTTTACGTCTATCGGGGCAAAGGATTTCCGCTTTTTGGGTTACAGTTAATTGGCATTATCTCATACAAGCATTTAATTGTGTGACGTACGGGAGGTTACTATTTATGTCTACGGTTGAATGGAAAAAACGTTCCTTAACGTTTTATCCCGAATATAACTGAGCGGTCTACAATAAGTTAAATCGATGATCGTTGTCGCTCGTGAAGATCTTCTGTAGCAACCAACTAACGCTCTATTCCTTGTTGAAATATGCTAATTTTTTAACTCATTAAAAATAAAATATAATATTGGAAATGAAATTTGATTGATGATTGAATAATTTTTTGGTATGGCCACTTAAAGAAAATTTGTTAGTCTGCTTGTAAAAAATAAAAATTTTTAAAAGGAAATATTTTCGTAGGTTTTAACCATGTTGGTAAAATACAAAATACAGTTCAAATCTTTCAGCGACGGATTTAGCGCTTGTCTTGGGCTCTGCTTCAAGTTTACAGTTTTTGTTTACTTCTGTTTACTGGTTGAAAAATTAAAACAAAACTTTTATCCCCACGTGTGTGAAGCAATGGGTATTCCACACGAGGTTCAAACTAAAAAGTCATTTTTTAAATGTTTTCTTTAATCACAGCGGGTATAGGGATGTATACAATTGACTATTATTGAAGCTAATTATTTACATGTGTTCTGAGCTACCATAGCACATGACGAATGGTTTGGATATAGCATGTTACCCAATTGAGCGTCACTCAGTTTTTCGTAATCTGTTTACAACACCACCGATATTAGTTCAGCTAAATCGTGTTTTAGAAAGCAAAATAATAAATTGTCTTATCTTCTGCGACACAGTGATGTACATGTACACAATAACATCAACGTATTGCAAGTGTTTCACCACAAATTACGAAAAAAATAGGAATCCAAGGCGCCTAATTATATCGGAGCTCTAAATCCCATATCCACAACATTCTGTAATTTTTATCTCTGATTTTTAATACAGATCTCACTCAATCGACTCTGATGTAGAAAAGAACATGGTATTATTTTTAAACCAAATTTAATTATCAATTAAAATGAATAGTTATAACGTTAACCTATTATCTTGATTCGGGTTTAAATGCCGTCGTCGGTTGGAATTACTTCCTAACGTTTCGCTAGCACGAGTGGCGAGCTTCTTCAGAGGTCCTTCCATCTCCACGTAGACAGTCTACGTCCAACATCGGAGATGGAACGACCTCTGAAGAAGCTCGCCACTCGTGCTAGCGAAACGTTAGGAAGTAATTCCAACCCACGACGGCCTTTAAACCCGAATCAAGATAATAGCTTATCAACGGGCCCCGAAAGCCTTAACCAAGTTATAACGTTATATTAAAAATAGTAACAGGTTTTCAATCTGCATTTTAGAAACATTCAGGTTATTTTTTACAATCACAAAGTTCCAGATTTATATTCAGGTTAAGGTTCAAGTAAAAGTTTGGTATTAATGCGCATGAATATATGAATCCAGTGGTAGAGTTGCTCCAAATTGAAAGTCACATTAAGAAAATGTATGATTAATGTTCAACAGAACTATCTCAAAAATCACCATTCCAGGGAGGCACTTATTGAGATAAGAATACTGACAGAACTGTTATCTCACGCTCAACAACTTTTGTGTACTGGTTAAAACAATCGGCAAGATTTCACACTTTCGTGTCAATAAACGAATCTGCTTTGCCGCTCGCTCTAAAATGATGTCAATAAACTGTACTATCGACGGTGTTATTTTGTTTGAGAATCGAGATTTCCGTAGCCTTTTTCCTGTTTGAACAGGATCGACCGGGATGCGAAATCCCGATCGCCTAGGAATCGTCATGTACCCTCAATGCGGGGGATATTTGACCGTTCTTATCATTTAGCGCGAATTGGTCTGGCCGTACTTGATTGCAAGTTGCCGCCTTTTATTGCGGCAAAATTACGACGTTACTTTTCGAACAACTTCAGTTAAGTCCCGCAGGTTGCAGTTTATTGCTGTTAAACATCCATTAGGTTTGAAGGTCGTAGATAATGACGGATGTTGATGAAATGAGATATTTTTGGCTTCCACTGTCTCTATTTTACAGTACTCATCTGAAGGCGCGTGGAAATTAATATTAATAAACTGACAACTATTTTTTCTTGTTTTTTGAAGCCTTTTGTGTCACAAAATTAGATTGGGTACACGAAATTTCATTAAATGAAAATCTTATAATTCCAATATTCTAAAGGATTCCTACATACGTTGTTACAGTGTCCCAGTTTAATTTCAGCAATCTAGGTTCATTTGAAAGACTCGAAATACTATTAAACTGTGCAAAAAGTCCTTTTTCTCTTTTTTCCATATCTCTCGATACTTGCAAGGCACGAGGTTGCAATAGATACCTAATATACTATACCAATCCAGGCGAAGAAGGAAAAAGGATGAATAACTTTGTCTACTCCCGTCTGTAATAATCCTTTATCCAACAAGTGCGGTAAACGTCATTTGACTCACGAGTTTATTTGACACGAGCGGAGCGAGTTTTTAATAAACGAACGAATATACTTTTTCTACGACCGTTAGTTTTTGGGTACATTTTCGCAAAACAACACGAATACATTCACTGACAGTACCGTCAGAATTGACAAACGTCAAAATTCAAAGCGTGGGAAGCAGCTCCGAAAACATCCGTGTGGTAAAATCCCGGAAATGTCCGAAGTGGCTCGGATTCATGGGAAACAAAACTGACGTGGTAAAGTGACGCTTTCTGCACGCTAGATCGGTGGGTAATTAGGTATTTTGCACATGGGAGTAGAAAAAATACCAAATTTTACCAAGTCAGTTTGCTTTCCCACGGATCTCAGCCACTTCGGACATTTCTGGGATTTTACCGCTCGGGTTTGGAAGCAATCGGATGTTTTCGGAGATATTTCACACGCTTTGAATTTTGACGTTTGTCAATTCGTGTTGTTTTGCGAAAGTGTACCCAAAAACTAACGGTAGTAGAAAAGGTATAGTATGCAACACGTTCGGTAAACTTTTTAACTCACTCGTGTCAGATAAACTCGTGAGTCAAATACCGTTTACCGCACTTGTTGCATAATATACTATTCTATTACGCTATATACTCACAGCTTCATCGCTAATCAGAGCTCCTTTTACGAACTACGACACATCCACGATAGACACAATTTACACTGATGAGCTTCTTAATTTTTTACTGTATTTATTAGCGATATCGGATTGTTTTATCAGATATATATTTTTCAAGTGATAAGTGTTTGCAAGATAATCCCGAGGACGCTTCAAGCGGCGTCATAGCAGAAGGGGAAAGCCAAAAGCAAAAACTCTGCAGGCTTTTGTGATTATAAACGCCAGCGAGGTGAAATTTGTTTCAAAGTTCCTTCTTGATGAAGCTGACACCACAATTTCCAGCAGTAGGTATTTCGTCGCTCGGCTAGAAAGTCGGAACATTTCAACTACTCCGTATACCTGACATATACTACGATATATCTTCCATACCTCCATATAGATCCTCCATTCCTCAATATACTTGTCCTCGACCTCCATATATGCGAGATTCATTCGCATGACGATGGAATACCTCGAGAAATGCACAATTGGTCAAAAATTGTCAGGTTTTATCGGAATTTCTTTTATATTCTCGGCAGATTGCGCTGCACTCGCCAAAAAAGCGAGTGTGTTCTTTGATTATAATATTATTTTTTCTACTCTTTACTTTAAAATACCCAATGGTCATTACTTATTAATAAGCGTCTGAAGAGGTTTATCAAGCACAGTTGATCAATCCCAACCGAATTGGCTCGTTTAATGAAGCTGAAGTTTTAAAGTGACACTTTGCGAACGCTTGATCAGTGCATGATTAGGTATTGTAGACTATGGAATAGAAAAAAAAATTCAAATGAGGTTATGCTAACACTAAATTCGGATTCATAACATTGATAAATACGAATGATAAATTGTTCCTTTTTTGCGATTGCGGCGCCATTTACAGAGAATCCAAAAGAAACCTGAGGCTTTTATAGTATAGAATCGGAATCTGTAATAACAAATGAAAGTTTTGGTTAGATTTCCCCACCACCAATGGGTTGGGG